TCATACATTCATGCAGATTATTCATTATTTCATTTCTTTAAATATAATGATGTGCTCTAATATTTGGTCGCAACAATTTGAAAAACAAAACGCTGTTTATAGTGAACCAGCACAAAATGCCTACACGGAATTAATAGCCTTTCTGGGCAAATTGCCCTTTTAGGCGGAAAATTACAAAGTTCCAGCGTATCTTTTTCATCTTCTTAGTTTTAATCTATAATATCCCTTAGTAGTCATATCGTTCTTAGAAATTTCCTTGCATATGCCAAAATTTAACTGTATCTAAAAGCAATACAATTTATTTAACCCTCTGACCGGTCCGACTACCATGAGAAAGAATTATTTTCCTGATTTTAAAGTCAAAAGGCCTCTGGTATATTATACCTGGATTTATGCATTTTGTATATATCCCCTTAATTTCTTGGAAATATTTTCTTATGCACATATATATACGGTCTTATAGACATCACAAAAAGTAAGCTAGGCCGTGTACGGGCTTTCCGGTCAAAAGCTGTTTATAAACAAAAGTATGTTATGGGCTAGTAAATCTTCAAAGAATATTATTGAATGTCATTTAAGAGGAAAATCTAAACCCAAATTATTCTGATTTATTTATTAACCGAATTCATGAAAAATGGAAAATAACATCAAGCATCCCAAGACTTGAAGTAAAATATCTCGGCTAATTTCCGTTGTAAGGAATCAAACTTTTCTTTTTTCTTATTTATAATGAATATAGAATTAACCTAAATATAAAAATTTAAATTTCATAATTTTTAATAAAAGCCGTTAAAACTTTTCAGAACATGGTGTGTGTGCGTTAAAAAGAAATAGTTAGAAATTTTCTTAAAGTTTATCCTATCTGAGGAAACTTATTCTATCTGTGAAGACTTTTTTAAAATTATCCTCTCTGAGGAAGGTATTTTTAGGATTATGCTATTTGAGGAACATAAAGATTATTCTATTTGAGAAACACAAAGATTATTCTATCTAAGGAAGATTACTTTACTCCGTACTTGAGAATATTGAGTAAAAGTATCTCATGTTAATTGGAAGTGAAAAAATTAAAGCCAGATAAGGAAATTTCTTTTAAAGATCAGTTAGAGTTAGAAAAATGTATAAATTAGAGTAACAAATAAAAATAAAAACTATTAATCACTTATGTTTCATGTTTAAAACAGAACTTTCATTGGGTTGGTCTTTGAAACATTAGACCTGGACGATTAATGAGAACGATTATTATTCGGCATATATATATATGTTTGTGTGTGTGTGTGAGTGTAATTAAAAGTATTCATGCTGTAGAAAACTTGATTGCATAGATACGTAGAATGTTGAATCCCTAACGAACAGCAAGGTTTTTGATTGCGCAGACTATTGATCCATAATGAATAGGAAACTGGCAGCCAAGGCAGATTAAATATTCCTTTTTATTCCAGTAAACGCTGCAGCCATAAACAACTTGACACACTGCTCGTTCCTATTTCGAAAATGTTTACTTTCTTGATAGATTTGCAATAAGAAGAGAGCAGCAGGCAGCAATCCAGCTAGGCCGAAGTGTAGAACAATGGTGGCTTGTGTTCAGCATATAATCTTCAATTTAGAATGAGTTAGATTCAATTTTCAGTGCATTTGATTGGATAATTAAATCTGCTGTCATATTATTACTGGCTCTTTGAGTGTTAGTTCCATTTATTGTTGTGTAAGAATCATATGACATGAATTAGCCTTGAAATGACGCAAGGCAGAAAGATATTGCTATTTTTAGAATAGAGAAGGGAAATTGATTTAAGCATTAAGAGGCTATTGATATATATATATATACATGATAAAAACTACACAAATTGCGAATATAAATTATAATTTAAATTATCAATAGCCTCTTAATACTTAAATCAATTTCCCTTCTCTATTCTAAAAATAGCAATATATATATATATACGCACTCATACGTATAGATAAATCGATAGCTAAAAAATTAAATCCAGAAAGAGTAAACATTTGGCTAAATTAGACTATACTTCTACACAGATATCATTTTTAAATCAAAATCTCTAAATACTACATTTCACATTACAAATATAATATATCTAAGACAAGGTAAAACATTGTAATAGGGATTTAAAACATTCAGGATCATTTCTTCATTCCCCATATTGAGTAGATACATTAAAGTATTCATAAGTTATCCTATACTTTTAAAGTTGTCACGTTATCTGTAATGGTGGTAGAGCACGGCTATTAAGTACACTTTTAACAGACTCCGTTACTCAGACATACTCTGACGTGAATGATCCCAAATTTTAGCCTCTTACCCATGATCCTAGCGTGTCAAAAGGTAGCACAGAATGGCTGGACATCGAGCCAGTTTGCAAGTAATTCTAGTATCTCCCTACAAAGAGGAAGCTCTTCAATAAGGCATATTCGCTCGTTTTCTAACTAGCTCCTTTAATGTCCTTGATTTATGGCCCTCAGATGGGGTTAGAGGGAGCGGAAAAAGCGTTTGGAGAAGCGGTAGAGAAGATTTCGATGGTAAAAGTGGCAACACCAGGAAGCTAATGTTTGTCGTTACATTTTTTTAGAGTGCCATTCCTGCCTTTCTTTCAGAGTGCATCTGAGTCTTGTGTGTTGACAAAATTTTCAAATGTGCTCTCATGGGTAACATTTTATGAAAATAGGCAGTTTTTTCTCCCAACAAAGTGTAAAAATGTATTTGATAAATTATAGGTTTTTCTTAGTTCAGCTATGTGCGGATGTTTCTTATCTAAGGGAAAATTACACGATAAATAATAATATGCAGCAAATTTTTTCCTTTAAATCCATTGCGCTTGATTTTCGGTGTTATTTCTATTTATAAAAACTAGCAGATACTGTGTGAAAGCTCGGTAGAAACGCTCAAAATCAAAATGAGATCAAAACTTACCGATTAAGAAAACTTTCATAGTGTAAAAATTATTTCCTTTTTCAGAATAAATTGTAAATTTTAAGACGGGTAATTTATTATACAGGAAGAAATTTTTATATTTCTTTATTAAATTAATATTAAATTCTCATTTTCAAATTTCAAAGATTTTAATCGATACATTTTTGACACATCCTCTTGCATTTGTTAATTAACTGGATGTTTAACGCAAACCCGCAGCCAATTGGACATCGGCTGACCAATGGCTATCGACCCAGTTTACTATCTTTACGAACGGACTGGTTTCGTGTGTTTTCTTTTATAGTGTGATGATGTGCGACGTGAATATGTGCCAGTTTTAATTTAGACCGCGCTCCAGGACTGCATTTCTTCCCTTAGGCAGATAGCCGCAGTGCGTTATACCGTATTCGAGCAATTCAGCATTCTAAAATTAGTAAATGTTTTATACGGTTATATTATAATTGTAACACGTAATGATTATTATCTATACTAAGTAACACATTTCGGAACGCATCCGTTAGTCCCCACGTTTTTTCGATAGCTGCAAGCCTTTGCTCTACAGAAGAGAAAATCTGGGAGATATTGATCATTATCAAATAAATAGGATGGAAGGGAGATGTAGTATAATTCACGTTTGTCAGTGTTTAGAACATCGCCCCTCTTTCCTAATGCCTGCTATTAATTTGGAAAAAATAGCTATTCTTATTACTCAAAACTGAAATCGAAAAAAGCACCGTAAATTAAAACGATTAATCTAAATTTATCATGTTTTGTTCCTAAACTTAATGTAGTTACATTACACATACAGCTGTGCGTATAACTTTCTCCAAAATGGAGCTCGGCTTTCTTCAGTAAGATTTCATAGTTACACTGTAAGAAATTACGGTTCATAAAACTCCTAACAAAAATAGCTTTTCCTAAAGCATAACGCAAAAATTACTGCCCATTTTCAAAGTCTTTGAAAGGTTAATTTCATAAAGTTCAGACAGTCTAAAATATTCTCATCACCGAACTAAATACTATGACTTGTCATAAACTACAATACTGACATGAATATTATCGCAGTTTTTAAATTTCTTCCGAGAAATTCATCCGTTTGTATTATATGAAGGTTATAAATCTCTGTTAAAGCAATTAAACCTAATAATGTCTAAATTTCTCAATGTTCATGATGTTTTTACTTTCAATTTGAACAACATACAACTGTATAAATTACATTTCTGTAGTAATATACGTAGAATGCATCTATAAAGTTTTAAAACGATATCTTTAAAAATTCTCAGCGAAGATGCTTTTTGAGAACAATCTGCACTGACTGTCTACATAACGTGCTTTCTGTTAAATATCATCTGATAAAGAAAAGATTAAATGGAATTTTCAACTTGATTTTGGACAATCAGTATTTGCTGCTGTGAATTCAAAAACTTGATCCCAGACAAACAATTTGTCTTTCCTAAATGCAACTAATTTCAAGCAGTTTATTTCAAAGAAATGGAAACACAATAATAAAACTCTACAACGAAATAAGTAGTAGACAACATTTCGATCATGTATACACATGTTATTTACTACTTAATACTAGATACTTAAAAAAGTCAGTATACGGAATATAAATTACAGAATTTAATCAGTAAGTTAGTTCTGTATATACGGAACTAATTAAATTGTGTTTTTTTTTTTTTTCCCAAATACTTCTCTGCAAAACATGGACATACTTAAAGTTTTTTTCCCAGTCTTTTGCATTGAATGATAATGTTAGGGTTCTTTATAACTTTATTATCATTTCTAAAGTAGAAATTTAAATTTCAGATTATGTAAACTGTTTAAAGTAAACAACTTCAATCACTTTCTGGTAAAATATGCATTATTCATGAAAGAGATCTTAACCGTTTTGTCAGCAATCTTAGCATAGCGATTCATTCATGTGTTCTCAAACACAAACATTTTGCATGGAAAACATGGAACATTTAACAAACATCAACATTTTTAAGTTGTACGACTTAACAGAAAATCCCACTGGAGGGAAAATATAAAAATTTAACTCTCCCATTACACAAATTTTATAAATTGAGCTTACCTCTCTGTGTCAAACTTTCTGGTGTAGCTAAAGTACTTGCTCTTAAAATCTTTGGTTCACTTCTCCCTTTAGAATTAAAAGCATATATAGCTATCACAAAACTAGTGCCGGGCGTCAGATCATAAACATTGAAAATTGGTGTAGGATTGGTCATATTGTTTAACATTATCACATGTTCAGAGTCATAAGTTTCTAACATGAAACTTTGCTGGAGTCCGCCATCATAAGCCTCTTGACATCGGACCATAAGCGATTCTTCTGTATGATTACTGGCACTGCAATTCTGAACAGCATCTGGAGGACCTGCATTTAAAAATATAATACATTAGTCAGGTAAACATCACACCCATAGAAATAAAAAAAAAAAACGATCTATCAAACAATTTTTGCAGTATTTTGTTGACACATGCCTCTTTAAATTTCTGCCGAGAATGTGAAAATTACATTAAAAATTTGAAATAATATCAAATATACAATTTTAAATCTCCTCGTATTCCTTTAAAATAATGTGCATGCTTGATATTATTTTTGATAAATACAGCTTTCGATTTAATGAAACCACAAAAACTGCAGGAAAAATTCAGAAAGAGAAATAATATCGAAAGACTATAAATTCTTCACAACCAACCGCTAAACCGTAAAAATATGCAGTTTCTAAATCAGAAGGTGGTAAAAATTCAAATACACTGAACAGCATGATCATTTTATGTTACATTACAATGGCATAACGCTAATATAATTCTACTTAAAAGTTTCAATGTACAGTAAGACCCCGCTTAACGCGGGGGATACGTTCCATCGAAGTAGAGCGTAATGCGAAACAGCGCTAAGCGAGGCTATCTTAACATGTAAATAATGGGGTTAGGGGATGACGGATAAAAAATGGTTAGGCATTAAATTTAATAATGTTTTTTTAATAAAAATAAAATCAAACATTTATTTCTTACAAAAATAAAAACAATATAAACGCATATACTTTTAAAAAAAATTAAATTCTCAGTCAGATCATTCAGTCTATTCTGGGTTTCCAATTTTCTGCCTTTTTGTTAAGAAGGCATTATGATAGATTGGCTTAATGGCATATTGCGTTCAATTTCGTCGTCAATCCATATAGACAGTCGTTTTTCCATTTCCTCTATAATGTTATTTCTAGAACGGGTAATTCTAGTTGCAGAGCTTGACGTAGTTGCAGTTGCCGATGACAGTATTTTTTCTTTATTCTTAAGAATTGTCCTTATTGTTGAAGTTGCCAAAATCAATGCACCACTAATTTGAGATCGACGTTCACCAGAATCTAATCTTCTAATCACTTGCATTTGAGTTTCCAGTGAAATCCTTTTTCTGGTTGCTTTCTTTTCTTGTTTTTTATTATCACCCATGATAAAAACTAAAGATCATAATATTTGTCACTGTATTAATCATTATAGTATTATACAAATTTAAACTTACAATAATGTCAACAAATGTTTCAAATGATAAAAATGCGTCCACAAAGCAAGAAACACAACTACACTGTTTCGGATATGTTATTTGGAAACCTAGCGCTGCGCACAATTTCGGAGAATCCCCGGGTTGAAATAAAAGAGCGCTAAACCGAAACAACGGTAAACGAAACAGCGTTAAGCGGGGTCTTACTGTACTACGGAAATGTTTTCTTCGTTTGTCTAATGATTTAAGTTGATAAAGAACATTTTGCAGTATTTTACTTCGAACCTGTGTTTCAGCTATCGTGAAGAATCCGCTTTGTAATGTAAAGTAGTTAGTAGCAGAACACCCTTAAATTTAAGATCCTAAAACTATAATTTATACATATAACAATTCTCACTATGAAAACCTATGATAAATATTAAAATTCAAAGTTTATATTTACATTAAAAGATACTCATAGAAATATGTCTTTACGGAAATGAAACGTAATTTATTTAGGAATCAGAGTTTAATTTTTTTTTTGAATCTCTTTTAACAGCCTAATTCCAATTTTGTCTAAATAACGTGTTCCGTTTACTTCTATTACACTCTTGCATTGTTCAAAATCCTTCGATTTAGTCTACTTTTGTCAGGGATAGAAATATTTGCCTAGACGCGTTTAACAAGATAAGCAACATTGATTTACATTGTTTTTTACTTCCTTGTTTGAAGTAAAAGAACTATTGTAATAGGGAAAATTTCGGGTTTCTTATTTCAACGAAAATATCCATTTCGACCGCTATCGAAACCATTTGAAAGATTTTTTTGCGTGACATCTGTACCTACGGATAGAATGAATGACCGTTTTTCCCAAAACGTATTGTAAAATGGATTTTAAATGGATTCAGAAGAGATTTTTTTTCATACGTATGTAAGTACTATAAGGTTATTCTCCCGCTTTCCTAGCGGCGTTCGTCGTGTAGTGGTTCTGCATATTCCAGAGGTCCATGCTTCGATTCCCGGCGAAGGCGTTTGCTCATTTTTCATCTCTCTTGCTTCTAAAATAACCTAATGTCTCTACAGAAGCACCCGAACTAAAAGGGTTGTGGATGAGGATTTTCCACACACAGGATTTGACGATTGGGTCCCCTAAAATACCCAGTCGTCCTTTAAAAAGAGGAGTATTTAAGGTATTTGTCCCGCTTTCTTAGCGTGTCTTCGTGGTATAGGGTATAGTGGTTCTGTACGCTGGGCCGGTATTCCAGAGGTTCGTGCTTCGATTCCCGGCGAAGGCGGTTGCTAATTTTTCATCTTGATTGCTTCCAAGAATATATCTAATGTCTCTACAATACGTACTCCAGAATCTCGCATAACTCCAGAATGAATAGCCGTAGAGAGTGAAAGTTTTGTATATGGAACTGCTATAACATAATATAATTATGTACCTCCTTTCTTGTTTAAATCGGCTGCACCAATCGTATATCACCATATATATATATTCCCACTTTGTTACCTGGCTTGTTGAGCCTAGTATGTTATTATTATACGCTTGTAAATTGTGCATTTTCCCTTAAAATATGATTGCATTGTGGGGTTGTTAGGATCCGGTTAAGGCGTCTGGATGTTTGTTCTAGTGTTCATTCAAAATTTCCTTTTGTGTTATTTAGATTCAGACTATTTTGCGTTCTGGCATCGAGATCAGACCGAGGTCGGAAGTCACAGAAAATTATTAAGATAAGAATAACATATTAGCTGAAATAAACCAAATTTATAAAGGTGTTAAAGATGGGAAAGTAAAGTTTTTATGATTTTTTTAAAGTTTTATTTCTTTTTGTTAGCCCAAAAGGGCTATTAGTTTCGAAACACGATTTTGCGTTAATTCACTTTAAATCTCGTCTGCTGTAAATGCCTTGTTTCATTTTTCATTCGGGGTTTTTGCCATTCGAAAACGTTCAAGATTGATATCTTTAAATTTAATGTGTTTTTTATGGATTACTCTATTTAAAAGTAATATATGCTGTTTCTAAAAAAATATTATTATTACTATTATTATTTTTAATATGCTTGATTTAAATGCATTTAGTTCATGATATGTCTAATTAGAAACATTAAATAGTTTTATAAAATTATGTTATATATTTTTCCCGTATTAGCTTAAATATATATGTATTTATATAGTATTCTAGAATATGCTTTCTGTTCCACCCGAAACGTTTCTATTGATAGCCTCTACTGATAAATTTTAAAACTGCCTAGAGCTTTTCGATCGATCTTCAAAACAAGAACCCTTTTGCATTTATTTTTCACTTTTGGAGAAAATTAATCAGAAGATATACGGAAGAAATGTCACAATATTAAAAAAATAAATTCTAAAATGTTTAACGTTTTCAAAGCGAAGAAAATTATATTCCCGACATACGCTCTCGCAATAAACATGTGCTTGTTTTGTATTTAATAAAAATGAAACTTTGAATTTTTCGTTTAAGTTGACTTAAAAAATGGAAATTAGTAGAAAGTGAGCGACACTCGAGAAGACGGTGTTCCATAGCAAGTATCCAATTACGATGCCTCTTTCAAAGTGAATATGTAATTCCCATCAAATCAATGAAATAACTTTGTTCCGTATTGCTAACCGGAAGGTATCGCGACACTATCAACTCAAAACCGATTATGAACGTCACTCGCCTGTAAAAATTTTCATTGAGCATTGTTAACATGCATTTCCGCAAAAATTAAGACCTCACAAAAACCTGAGAAAGATTCAGTTTATAATGAATCAATTGCGATCTTCTTTAATTCCAATTGATTCAATTTACATGTTCCATTAATCCACCTAATTATGGTAAGATATAGTTGAAGTTTTATATCAATCTAAAATAAATTTATGTGCATTCTAAAATATGCATTATATATACATATTTGAAGAAAGGTTAAAACTATGTTTGCAAGCTAATTTAAAGTTTGTGTTTATATGTTTTTAAATTTAATTCATTCTAATTGTAATAATTTTTACTGTTACGAATAATTTGAATGTTCAGCGTAGTTTCTAAACTTTTAAGAAGAAAACTAAGATTTAAAATTTACATTTGCGTTAAAGAGACAGTTATTGCAAATAATTATTCACAATTATTTCCTTTTATTTAAAAAATGTAAGATTAAAATTTGAATCTGAACAGCAGCATTCCTTTAATTAGCAGAAATTCTTTAAAATGATATTTAAATTTAGATAAGCGTAAAAGGACATATATCCAGGAAAAAGGCTCGGCGTCGTATCATTAAATGAAACTTCATTAAAATAATATTGTTTATTACAAGTGGCCAGTCAACCTCTAAATAAGGGTATTTTCTCTTTTAAATTTTATTATTATTTCAAAGATGAAACAAAACTTTTTATTTAAACTCCCCGACCCTCCTAATCACCTCAAAATACTATCTTCATATCCAAATAAATGTAAATAAACTTAATACTGTAACATATTCGTTACAAGTCTCGTTTACCTCTGCCTCATTAAATGTCTTTTAAGGAGATTCTGGTGGGCTCATTATTTTTCGTGGTATTATACCTCAAGGAAAAGGAATATATTCATAGTAATCGGAGACTGGTTCATTTCTATTACAGCAAGATTAGAAAAAGCATGCATTACAAGCATCACCCACCTTTCTTGAATGGTTTCGAATATGAATACCTGTATTCGATGAGCAATTGTTTCTTAATTTCTTTCCGCATGGTTCGTGAATATAAAAATAAATGTCGTTCATCAGCTTGGTTGAGCATGCAAGTTTGGAGATTCCTGGTATTTAATGGCATATTGGTCTGCAGTCTGTCGAATAATTGGTGAATACCCATAGATTTGTCGAAAGCAATCGCGGGGGGAATTTCATAGAATATATACATG